GGATGGATGATGGAGATGCCCGTGATTACTTCACACTGTTGCTCGCCGCACGCGCGCGCGACGCAAAGTCATGTCAGCGCCCGAGTGTGGAGTTGGGGGGGGGGGGGGGGAGGGGAGGAGAGAGGGGTACGCAAAAGGCCGAGGCAAATACTTACTTCGCCATCGTTGAGTTCCGCCAACATCCTCAACTGATCGACTTTGTCTCTTGGCTTCTCGAGGATCACCTTGTCCTTCAGCACGATGGTGTCTGCGGCAATGACGAGATCCGGCGGATTCATGCCGTCTTGCTTGACGAGACGCTCGTACACCTCGCGCGCCTTGCACGCCGCCGTCTCGACGGCATACTCGTAGAGGGCGCCGTCGCCGTCGAGAAAGTCGGCCTTGGCGAGGTCTTCTTTGAAAGTGGAGGGCACGCACTCGGGATGCAGACCCTGCCATGTGCGTGCAAGGTGTGAGGATTGGTGCAGCTCGATTTGGGGCTCATACGCAGAGGCGCAACTAGAGTCCGATGACGGCAACGTGGCCATCAGGGCGCGGCCGTACCCAAGAAACATGGGGACCGCTGAGCGCGCCCTGCCGTGGGGGGCGACGGCAAAGCAGCTGGGGGCGGAGCGCACCTAGCCCCCCACGCTGGCCCCCTCCTCGTGGGGCGATGCAAACGCTGGCAGCCGAGTCGAGCATGGGAGCCGCAGCGCGCTGCTCAGCAACAACACACACACAAACACTCACAATCTGCGCCAAGATATCCAAGCGTCGCGGGCTGGCGCTGGCGAGGACGACGCGGCGGGCGTGGAGGCGGGTGAGAAAGGGCAGCTCGAGCGGCTGGGGCGTGGGCGTCGCCTTTGCCTGTGCCTGCTTCTGCGCGGCGGCGGCGGGCGCGGGAGTGGAAGAAGAGGGAGCGGCGTCGGAGGAGGAGGAGAAGAGACGCATGATGCGGATGTGGGAGGGGGCGATGGTGGTGGTGGTGGTGGTGGTGGTGGTCGTAAATAAGAGGGGAACGAGCCAAGTGGAGTGGCGAGCCAAGGCGCGCCGCGGGCGGCGCGCGCGTCACGTGGCGCTGCCGCGCCGCCCGCTGATGGCGCACGGTCCTTTGCCTCTTTGCTTCCTGGCCTCGCACCACCACCACCTCACCACGCACGCCTCGCACGCGCGCAAGCCCAGCCATGCTCGGCAATCTCCTCTACATCTCCCTCCTCCTCCTCAATGCCATTGCCATTCTCAACGAGGAGAGGTTCCTCGCTCGCGGTGCGTTGTGTGTCTTGCGTCGTCTGGCGCTCCCACTTGGGCTCACCCCCCCCCCCTTGTTCACACTTGCGACAGTCGGATGGTCACAGACGCCCGCCTCTCACATCGAGGGCTTCCAGGGCGGCGGCGGCAACATGATGCAGCAGCAGCACGAAGGCATCAAGGGTCGCCTTGTCGGGCTCATCGGCGCCGTGAGGATGCTGCTGCGCGGTGAGTTTGGATGTTGCTTGCGCGCGA